ACGTTATACTGGTGGTTGATCCAAATGCTCATTCATCGTTGGTGGGCAGGGGCAGGGTCCAAGCATGAACCTTCATTTTATGACCGCCATTAGTGCCAGTGCCGTGTTGTGTTGTTTCTCTGACTGGCTCCCATTTTTCGTTTGGGCAGCTCTGGCAAATTCCAGGGACCAGGTGTCAACGAGTGTGAACGTAACACCGTGAACAACGTTTTTTTTTTTTTTTTTTTCTCGGAGCCTCAAAACAAGGAACTAGACTCAGGGAAACTTGTGCGTTTTAATTTGTTGACTGCTAAAGTGTTGGGGACGGGGTCCGCTTTTCATGCCAGTGAGGGCGTGTCGTTTTTCTTGGCAAGGCGCCTGGTGCAGGGAAGACCGCAAGAAGAGCTACAAACCTGGCAATGCACTGAGCATGCACTTCGCATGTGTGCCATGGTCAAATAGCATCTGTGTACGTTAGGTTGTGTAGGGATGGATGATCATGGCCCCCTTAGTAGAAGGAAAAACAGACAAGCATGACAAGGATTCTATGAGAACCACGACCAGGGCCCACATTAGTTCTTGATCATGGCTTGTGTGGGCACCAGGCGATGTCAGCTTGCTTCTTTTGCGTCTCAGCCGTTGCCCCAGCTGCAAGTTTACGAAAGCTTTGCTTCATGAAAACAATGCATGTGCTGAACTCTGTCAACACCACATCTCAGAGGATGTTGCCAGCAAAAATACATCTACACGCAGCAAGCCTTGAGCCGCAAGCATGCTGTTCATCATTGCACAGACGAGAGGCATGCTGTCACACCTAGACGAGGGAGAGAACCGCAGTCGGCATGTGTTCTGCATTCTGCTTGGGCTCGTTTACGAGCAGGTCAAGTTGCAGATCATTTTGTTGCTCATGTTTCAGTATCCTGCCGGCCATTGAACAGTGTCACTGAGAGATTCAACGTCCAAACATGGCAGAGAGGCTCAGGCATTGGCCAGGTTCCCTCGGGACCTGCCCGGCATGCGTTACTTTCCCTGATCGCTTCACTGCACCGTTGGGATAAAGTTGCATTTGATGTCAGCAGATTGCCCTTCAAGCTTAATTTCTTGCCGCGAGACTTTGCGAATGGACCCTGCCGCGATTGTCAAGATCTAGTCCCGGTCAACAGTTTCCATGCAAGGTCCAGACGGGAACTTCGAGCAGGCGGTTTGTGATTGGCAACCGGCTGCCTGAGATTTGGATCCCCCGAACATTGCAAGAACCCAAGCCTTTAAGTAAGCGGCGAGCAAAAGAGCAGTTGTTTTTTGGGTGTGTTTCAGACGTCTTCTGTTTGCACCCACCCGATCAGCGTGCGCGACTCGATCGGCAGGTGGTCGGAGGAAACTTTTTCTGCGCGGACATCATGGCAAGGCGCTGCGTTGAGGCGCGTACGACCAGTAATTTGAGCCATCAAACCCCAAGGGTGGTGCCCTTGAGTACCACGTTGCCCAGGTTATGTGACTGCGGCTGAGCCGCAAACACTAAATGCGTCGACGCAAGCTCCACGGCCCCCCGTTTTGTTTCACAGAACATTAAATGATATTAAATGTGTGTGTGTGTGTATTTGTTTTGATGGTACCTTTTTCGCCTGGACCTGGAGTTTCAAGGACGACCACCATTTTGGGAGTCCAACTCCCACACACACACACACAAGCAGTCACATCTGCAAGTTTACGAAGGCCAAGCTGGCCCCGGACCAGCGCTACCTGTTGATCCCTCAGTCACATTAGCCACAATCAAACCCGGGTAGATGAAGGCTGGTATGGGATAATCCCAACCATAAATGGGTGAAGCCGCCCTTTTAATTCTTTCCGTGGTTCGGGGTAGGAGGTTTTGATTCTGACTCACATGGATTTTGGCAGCCGCCCGCCGGGCTAAGGCTAGCTGCGTTCTGCTTCGGTGCAGGACCTGTTGCGCATGGCGGAGAGGTGTGCTAGGGGTCTCAGGCTATGGCTTTTCCATCCTGCAGCACAGCTCATAGGTACGCAACAGTGCACCGTTCAAGATGCGGCTCTTTGCGTCCGAGCCGCTAGGCAGGGCACGTGTTTCAGTGACGAAATGGTCTGTCAAAGTCTTGTCTCTATTTCAGGCAAAAGAAACGCGCCAAATGGGCACCATGCACCATGAAAGAAGGATGCCGCAGAGAGTCACTGCAAGACGGCCTGATTTGAGAAAGTTCCCTTTCAAGGGGTCGGTTTTTGATGGCGAAGGGGTTGACGTACCTCCTTAGGCACCAACGGACCCTTGGATGTAGCCAGGCTCAAGAATCCAAACTCACACACAATCCACAGGAATGTTTACCTTGGGCCCGAAGAAAATGACAAAGCCGCATCTCCCTACCAAGAAACCTTTGGGATGAACAAAGAACTTCTATAAGGGTTGAGTCCCCGTTGGTTTTTAACCATCCTTCTTTTCAAGGATCCGTTTTCCCCCCTGTTTTTTGCTGGGTTTTGCGGGGTTTTCTAAGATCCGGATCCCTAAGACTGGCAATGGAAGGTGCCCCGGGGCGATTTGGGGTACAGTCATATGAGTCATAGGTGTGCTTTTTAGGTTAGCGTGGTTAAAAGTAGAAGGCACTGGTTTAGATGGGTTTTATTCCATTTACCAGGGCCATCTATTTTTCCAAAAGGACACCTATGGGTACAGTCCTTGGAGCCAGGGGTTCGGTCCCTGGAGCCGGAGCGGCAGCCGCAGCTCACAGCCACGGCACTGCCTTGGGCTCAGTGACTTCCCCCCTGGGTCTCCAAAAGCCGAGGGTACCCTCCAAAAGACACGCGCCAAAGGTCATTGCGATTTTTTGTTTGGGGTTGTCTCAACATTGGTGCGAAGATGGAATGGACCACAAAATGAATGGCGGATCATTGTTAGGAGATACACGCACACGGGCGCTCTGGAGAATCTAGCAGGCAAAGACTGGCTGCCAAGCTGCCCTCTCTTTCCATCTTGGCCCCTCGACAGAGTTGCATTCACTATGTCCGCGCCAGTGCAACGGATACAGCTCAGGAGATCCTTACCATCAGAACAGCTCACTGGAACAACCTTGCGGTTCGATTCACGAAGGCATCCCATGCACAAAGCCAGGACTGGCCTGCATGCGGCGATCAGACCTCAGATTTCGCGCGAGGGAGTTCCAAGTGGCCCAAAACGGATTTCTTGCCATAGTAGGTGCTACTGGTTTCAAAATATCAGGGGGGTTGCAGCCCACATTGACATGGCTGTGGGTCAAAACCAATGGCCATTTTGGGGCAGGTGCACCACCCATTTTAGAACCTATTTTAGTGGTTGGAGTTCACTGGGCGTATGGGATTCTAGTCACTGAGGTGTTTGACCTTGACAGCAGTTCCTGGGCGACGATTTCGGCGGCCGAAGCCTTGAGAAGCCGTTGGTCCGGTCCCATTTGTCCAAGGTGTATCCGTTGCATTGGGATCAGGAAGCCAAGTGAATCAAGAGTCCACGGAAAGGATTCCGGCCTGTTTCTCCCCCCTAAGACGAATCCCTTTTTTGCCGCAAGATCTTCCCCACTTTTCTCCCCCAATATCTTTGCCCCCTTCCCCCCCCCCCCCCCCAAGATCTTTTCCCCTCTTTTTCCTTGAAGATCTTTGACCCTTTTTGCCCTTTTCTTCAGGGGAGAGGGGGAAAAGATCTTGGGGGGACATGAGGGAAAGATCTAAGGGGGGGAAGGGGGGAAGGGGGAAGCAGGTCTTAGTGGGGAGGGGGGAAAAAATCTTAGGGGGGCAAAGGGGGGAACAGATCTTAGTGGGGAAAAAGGTGGAAAGATCTCAGGGGGCAAGGGAGGAGAAGATTTGGGGGAAAGGGGGGAGAAGGCCTTGGGGGGGGAGGGGGGGGTCTCTTCCCCCTACTCGTACGATCTGTTCCCTCATTCCCCCCTCTCCCCCTCTGAAAAAACTGGCACAAAGGATCTTAGCGGGGGAAAGGAAAACTTAGGAGGGGAAAGGGGGAAAAGATCTTAGTGGGGAAAAAGGGGGAGGGCCGGGGGGGGGGGGGGGATCTTTAAAAGGAAGGGTTGAAAAGATCTTAGTGGGGGAAAGGGGAAAATTTCTTAGGAGGGGAAAGGGGGGAAAAGATCTTAGTGGGGAAGGGGGGGGAGGAAGGGGGGAAGACCTAGAAAAGGAAGGGGAGATCTTAGGGGGGAAAGGAGGGAAGGATCTTAGCGGGGAAAGGAAAGCCATGAAGATGTTCAGACTTTAAGCTATTAAAATTTTAACACAATACGCCACTCAGATTTTCAGATTTTAAGCCCTTAAGCTTTAATTTCCCTTCATGCCACTTGACTCATGTCCACTCAGTTCCCTTCAGCTCCCTTCATTTTCCTTCACATTCCTTTACTTCCCTTCCTGACCCTTTATTTCCTTTTACTAGGCGGTGTTCCTCGGCAGCGACCGATTGGCGGACACGATTTCATCTGCATTTTGCCGGATCGGGTATCCATCAGCGCGCGAGCTGGCAGCATTCGAGATGAGGGAGCCCCCTGCGGCAGACTACACTATTGCTCCCAGCATGTTCTCGATCGTTCTCAGTTAGCTTCACGCGCCTTGCCTTTTCAAAGATACTTCGTAGGCCTGTGAGCTTGTGGAGATGGGGGGCAGCCCTTTGAGCATTTTTAAGCTGCTTGAATTTACTGGTCTCTTCCAGGGGCTGGCTCATGAAGGTGTGGGACATTGCGGGGCGCCATATGTCAGGAGGGATGTTGAGGGCAACAAGAGGTTGCGTTGAGGGGTGTTGATGGCGACTACAGGTCGCCGGAATCAACCGTTGTTCACATTCGCTTCACTGGGGCTGATTTCCGGGCTGTCAGATCTTTCCGTCAATGATAGAGAGGGGAGAATGGGAACATCCAACAGATAATCCGTGATAATCCCTTCCTTTCTCATCTCTATCTCTGTCCCGCCAGAATGTACTTTAGGATGTGGACATATGTGGAACAAGAATGAGAGAGATTGCCTTCGAATGCTTTTGAAGAGCCGAGGACGCAGAAGGCGCTTCTGGCTTTTGCGGTGCGCACGCAGCCGGCTGGAGCTGCAGCGTGTGGATGCCGCAGCCTGGAGCGCGGTGGGGGCACCTGGAAGCCGCCATCGCGTTGTCTACGCAGTAGACGGCGGGTGGTCGGTGCTGAAGGTCGCCGCGCAGGCCGGGAGCCACGAGCCGGAGCTTCGGTTGGCGCGCAATTCTCGTTTGCGCGGACTGTTCCGGAGCGTGATCGGACGCAGCGTTTGCGCGCTGATGAACAGAATGGAGTGGCAGCGGCGGGAGCTGCACTTCATTGCGTCGGAGCGCGTGCCGCCGCTATCAGAGCATCTCCGGGGCGCGGACGTTGGGATTTGTGGCCAGACATTCGCTGCGGCGGTCGGAGCGATCGCAATCTGCTGCACGTGCAGCGTGCGGCCGGTCGATTGCAGTGTGTGGAATCTCGGCGTCGGCTTGTCTTCTTGGACGCGGGAAATTTCGTGTTCGCCAGTGGGCCATGCGATTTTCCGGTCGCGCGGAAGCTGTGCAGCGGGCAGCCTTGGCAGGCCACGCGAGCGCGGCGCGCTACGAGCTCGGCGATGTCGTGGCCGGCAGCGGGCGTAATGCGGCTGCCATCGCGCAGGCGGTGCGGGGCTTGTTGGAAGGCGCAGAGGAAGGCAGCCTCGCGCCGGCGCTGCAGGTTGGCGGCGCGTCGGCGCGCGCTGCTTCTGTCACCAGGTGAGCGTGAGCCCGGAGCACGCAGCGTCGCGCTTGATGCCCGACTTCGCACCTCGTCTTCCTCACGCAGCAGTCGACGCGAGCGCCAGGCGTGTGCGTGGAAGCAGCAGCGCTGCAAGCGACGGAAGCCGAGACCGACCGAGGAGCTTCTGCCAGGGCCTGGACGCACTCGAGACGAGCCTCGGCGTCGGTCAAGAAGAGGAAGCCGTGTCTGCGTGCGTGGGGTTGCGTGCCAACGGCTGCGCACTTGCGGCGGTGGCGGTGTTCACGCACGATCCGGCGAGGCAGCGGGTCTGTCCCGCAGCGTCGCACCTATAGCGTCCGACCCCACAAGTCTTCTTGCCTTTCGAAGCAGGCGACGGACGTCCTGGCGGGGAAGCGGCGTCTTGCCTCGCGGCGCTTCGCTCCAATGTCTGCACGCTGCGCTCGACGGCGGCGCTGGTAAGCCCTTAAGCTTTCATTTCCCGTCATGCCCCTTGACTCATTTCCACTCAGTGCCCTTCAGCTCCCTTCATTTCCCTTCACTTTCCTTCACTTCCCTTCCTGACCCTTTGTGTCCTTTTATATCCTTTCATTTAGAACCTTGGCGGGCTGTGCCCGCCAGCCCCCTTTTGAAAGAATCAACTCTACGCAGAAGGGAACGTGTTGGAAGCCGCGTGCTACGTGGCCACCCCCGCCCCAATAGTCAGGAGGGTAAGGAGGGGGTAACGGTAAAGAGGTAAGCAGCCTTTCTTATGATATAGCATACACATATATATATATATATACAAAGTTGTCTCTGCGATTCCGAAGGTGAATTCTCATGTCGAGACAACATTAACGTAAGGCTGCTCCTGTTCAACCGATCCCAGCCAACCTACAACTGGGACCCAGGAGTCACATTTGGCATGCGGCCTTCCTTCGTGCTTGATGTTGATGTGTTGAAGTTCCTCATGGTACACCATGTGTGTGTCTGTGCGTCTCTGTGTGTCTCTGTGTGTGTGTGTCTGTGTGTTTGTGTGTCTGTGTGTGTGCCTGTGTGCCGGTGTGTGTGTGTGTCTGTGTGTGTGTGTCTGTGTGTGTCTGCGTGTGTGTGTGTGTCTGTGTGTGTCTCTGTGTGTGGGTCTGTGTGTGTCTCTGTGTGTGTGTGTCTGTGTGTGTGTGTGTCTCTGTGTGTGTGTCTCTGTGGGTGTCTGCGTGTGTGTCTGTGTGTGTGCCTGTGTGTGTGTGTCTCTGTGTGTGTGTGTGTCTCTGTGGGTGTCTGCGTGTGTGTCTGTGTGTGTGCCTGTGTGTGTGTGTCTGTGTGTGTGTCTGTGTGTGTGTCTGTGTGTGTGTCTCTGTGTGTGTGCGTGTCTGTGTGTGTGTCTGTGTGTGTGTGTCTGTGTGTGTGTGTCTGTGTGTGTGTCTGCGTGTGGCTCTGTGTGTGTCTGTGTGTGTGTGTCTGTGTGTGTGTCTGTTTTTGTGGTGTCTGTGTGTGTGTGTGTCTGTGTGTGTCTCTCTGTCTGTTTGTGTGTGTGTCTCTGTGTGTGTCTCTGTGTGTGTCTCTGTGTGTGTGTGTCTCTGTGTGTGTCTCTGTGTTTGTGTCTGTGTGTGTGTGTGTCTGTGTGTGTGTGTCTGTGTGTGTGTGTGTCTGTGTGTGTGTGTGTCTGTGTGTGTGTGTCTGTGTGTCTGTGTGTGTCTGTGTGTGTGTGTGTGTCTCTGTGTGTGTGTCTCTGTGTGTCTCTGTGCGTGCGTGCGTGCGTGCGTGCGTGCGTGCGTGCGTGCGTGCGTGCGTGGGTGTGTGTGTGTGTGTGCGTGTGTGTGTGTGTGTGTGTCAAGCTGTCCCTCTTTCCGAAACGCAGACGTCACCCGACTGCTTGGCACAGAAGCCGGTATTATCACTACTATCACTCGATTTCGCCTGACATGGTTGGTTTTTGTGTGGCTTTTGAGAAAGTCCTAGGCCGATACTCGCATGGCTTGTGAGGCTGGTTCGCCGACTTGGTCCCGAGCTCTGTCTGTTTCAGGCGCGGATCTGCTTTCTGTGCCCCCATGGGTTCAGTCAAAGAGCACATGATATATGGCTAGCTTGGGACGTGGGGGGAGTGACGGGCCGAGCACCAATTGTCCCATGTGCTTGCCATGGCTGCGGCAGGTTACGGGGGAAGGCGCTGTCCTGCTGCCGCTGCCTCGAGGTGAGGGAGTCGCCTATCCCAGAGACTCGTCCCGAGGCTTGTAGCGAACAAGGGAGCCAAGGATGTCACCATCAGGATCTCTGCAGAGGTGCTTCGGGCATACATGTTGGAAGTCGTGTTGCGTCGCACACATGGGATAGACTCTAGGCCACAAACAAACCTCACACGGTTGTCGCAGTAAAAGTGCCAGGGTTGCGCAGATAGCAAAATGGCTATGCCTGAGCTGTCTCCATGGATGTGCTATTGAGGTCCAGCCCTTTGCATTCAAGTTTCAGGACTCCATGGATCAAAGGTTCCATTGGCAAGATGCCAAGGTGTAAGACAAGGTGTTTTAGTTGCTGGGCTCACGGAGTCGCATGGGATGCAGCTGTTGGAAGGCGGGAGACGCAGGCAATGTGATTTGACGCCATCTTCAGGTCAAGGTGATGACGGCCAGATCAGCGGAAGGCCCGATTGTTATTTCTCTCTTCGTGGCTGGCCAGTCCACGCGGATCCCATTTCATGCTTATTTGAGCAACAATAAAAACCGATTCGGAAATTCGAGTAGATGAAGATTAGTTGCAGCCACCCTTTGATTTGTTACATGGTCTTGGGTAGACTCCCGCAACGCCCGGTTTTGACTGTGACTCATTTGGGAGAGCAGGCTTGATTACAGCTGCTGCAAATGCAGAGACGGAGAAGCCTTCTGAGGCCTGGCAGTGAGGCGTCGCGTAGGGCTTGCAGCTTGTGTGAGCATGTGTTGCATGTTCTCGAAGGCATGCGGGGACCTGGGCGTTGAAACCCAAATGGGGTCTCAAAATGAGATCCCACAATGGGTGGTTTCCTTTTGCCCTTTCAAGCCGACCAAAAGGGGGTACCCTCCAAAACGGACACACCCATATCACCCGATGCGACACGGACACATTTCCAGTCTCCGGCAGACTTGGCCTGCAAGAATAGGGTACCTGCTGGAACACAAACTTTGCAGTCTTTCGGGTCCAAGCATTTTGAACCACACCCACCGGCTTGGCACGCACAGGCCACGTGCTTCAACTGTGGCAAGCCTGGGCACTTAGCCCGGGACTGCCCGAACACCAGGAGGGATTTGCCTGCTTCACACAGCAAGCCATGCAACGATTGGGTGGAAGATGGCACACTTCCACCCCTTTGGTTGCATGCCCTTCTCGAAAGGGAATTCTGGCATCTGCTTTCACCCTGGTGTACTGAGTGATGCAAGTCTTGTCGCTCCCTTGACTCTCAGAATCAGCCAGACCGCAAGCATGCCTTCCCACCTGTCGCAGGAGAGGCATCCGAAGCCCCTGGCGCTACCCAGCGAAGTGGCGGCGAGCTGGAGCCTCAGCGGTCATCCAGGCAGGTCATGTCTCTGGGTTGCCAGTACTGCAAGAAGGGTCTAAGAGGGGATGAACTGGCCGTATTTGCAATTGCTTGAAGTGGTGTGTGTGTGTGTGGTTTCACAGGCAATGTATCTCGATCTTGCTGCAACGCAGAGCCTGGCATTTCCTTGTACAGAACTTGCCTGCAGCCACGTGCGCACTGGAGGTGGTGAGTGTAGTCAGGATCCCATCAAATTCGCAACGCATTGCTATGGCCAGGATCTCAGCCGGCAGCTAAAGTTTGTCAGATCCAGAGGGAAGCCACTGATTTTGTGGGTCATTTCGTTGCGGATACCCTTTTTGCTAGGGCAGAGAAGGTAAAGAGTGGGCCGGCCCTTGGGCCGTGCTTGAACTCCCGAAACAAAAGGGCAGATGCTAGTTTGAAGCAGTGCCAGCGTTCGGACGTTGCATGTTCCAGTTGACAAGGCCTCCATACAGAACCTGCAACAGATACAGCAATTCCAAGCGCAAAAGGAATGCTTTCATTGGTCTGCGAATTTCATCCGAACTGAGACTTGTAATGTTGGAATGTTGAGCACTGGATGTAAGGCCTTGATTGGCAACGGCATGCAAGCCGAGATGGGTGGAGTGGAGGCTGGGCTTGGGCAAGGCAGCATGTTTTCAAAGGGCTGCAGACGAGCAGCTTGGCTGGTTCAAGTGTTTGTAGCTCCAAGCCATTTTTGCTAAGCTGCACCTCCATACCAGATATGTCGCTTGCATTTAGGTTCAAAACCGCCTCCGCCTCTAATTTAGCGTGCCTGCCATGTTCCGGGCGCTTGTTCTGCTAGTGGCAAGCTGTGCTGCAACTCACCTACGTGCTGGCAGCAATGCCTCACGGTCAGCCTTGCGGGCCGGATTGAGGCGACCGAGCTGCACTTGCGAGGCAAACAACCCGAGCTGGAAACGGCCCACACGGAGTGAGCCAAAGTGTGTCTTCATCGACCTCGGCGCCGCCGATGGCAACACCTTCGACACGTGGCCCAATCTTTCCTTTCCATTTACCATCAAAACGTTTGAAAGGTACTAGTGCCCTTTAAGATCAACCAACAAAGGAGGTAAACAAGCCCTGTTGTCCCCATAATCTGTTGGTCTGATCATCTGAGGACAGCTTCTTGGCGGACGACTATGGCCCTGTGCACAACTGCCCGCATGGCGGGGATTGGGAGGCCATTTTGGTGGAGGCCAGTGGGTTGCTTCAAAGAGCCCCCGCTTCGGTGCCCTTTGAAGGGAAGCCAACAGGAGGCTCAAAGGAACAATAGAGGTTGAACCATGGTTATGGGTCAGAACCCCGGTGCCCCGGTGAACACCCAGAAAGCCTTCTAAAAAGACAACAGTGGAGTGGTAACAACCCCCAAAAGGACACCTTAGGTTTTGACCCACAGCCCCATGTCGCCCGATTTCCCGTAGGCGAATCCCATGTTCAGCAAGAAGCTGCAGGCGTTGCAGAGCAACTTGCCGGGCAAGGTGCAATCCTTAGCCTCCACCGCCGCCTACAGTTGCGAGACCACCACCAGCTTCTCCATCGACGCCGATGCAGCGCACAACTACTGGGCCTCCAGCCTGATGGAAAACGTGGGCAGGAGACAAGTGACGGTGCCCACCGTCAACGTGAACAAGCTCTTGGCAGAGAGCGTGATTCCAGGTGATTGGGTCATGCTCAAGGTGGACATTGAGGCAATTTGAGAGATTCATCTAGCAGCCAAAAGAGAAAGGGCCCCCTTGTTCTTCCAAAGCTAATCTCTGCTTGGCCGGAGCGCTCTTGTTCATTCTGATTTTCCCCATGTTCCTTACGGGAACCACCATATGTTGACCGTACGGCAGAGCCACAATGCTGCAGGGTGCGGAGTATGATGTGATGCCCTGCCTAGCAGAGTTCAAAGATGCAGAACTCATTGATGAGATCTTCCTGGAAGAGCACTGGTGGTTCCCAGATCGAACCGCAGAGCAGAGTTTCGGCAGAGAGCGAACCGCTGCAAGATCTCTTCTCTTTGTTTTCCGTGGCTAGGGCAGCTGAAAAGTAAGGAATGTGACGATGATTTTGGCCAAGGACAAGTTGAGATCCAGGAGCCTCGGCCTCGCAACTGCATGCCATGTGGCATTGAGAGAGATGTTACGAAAGCATGTGATAACAACAATGCACCAACAGTTGAGCAAGGGATGCAGCTTGCGAAGCAACTGAGCTGTGAGGAATATTCGCATCCCAGCGTTGCTCGGCTTATCAGAGATGTGCAATTAAAGGGAAGTGGGAAATGCCTCCCATTTTTACCCCCCCGGGGTCGGGGATGCTTTGGTCTTTGGTTGAGCATTTGCTCAGAGCCAAAGGTCTAGTCACTTCAAGTTCGGTTTCTCGTTGTGCCACTTGCGCCACGGCTAAGGTACTTCAGTAATTCCTGAGGAGATTAGATGCTTGATTATTCACTCCAGACGTGGGAGCTGCTTGCTGCAGCCAACAGGTCCCACCCTGCTGAAGCAGGATAGAGTGGGTGGTCGAGGCCCCGTCGGATGCTTGTGGCTCACGGACAAGCCATTGCGTCTGTGCCGCTTGGGCATCAAAATCGTAGAAGTGAACTTGCGCGAGGAGGCTGCACGCATTAAAGTGAAGTGAAGATGTGGGTTCTTGCGAAGCACTCGATTCCCAAGCCAGGTGCAGGTTGCTGCTGGAGGGGAGGATTGTCCTGGCCTCAAACTCTAGCATCAATCCTCAAAGCTTTGAGCTCTCTCGTTGGTGAAAAAGCAGCTTGCAGGGGCGACTTCTGCCAGTGCGGGAAGGCGCGCGGGCAGCGGACATAGGTGTGTGGCAGCTCTAGTGACCCCAGGATTGCTGGCGCCCACAGCACAACTTTGCAGATTCACTTTCACTCGCTAAGTGTCATGAGCAGCCATGTCAACGCACGAACGCTGCACCCTGCGGGAACATGCCACCAATTTTCAATCAGTAGCGTATCGTGCTGGCTATTCACAACTATCACTTCGGCACATCCTGCACATCCGAACTAACATTTGGCACATCCCCCCGCAACAGCCGAAGCCGAGTGATCCAGCCGCCCTTTTTGTTTAAAAAAGAAACAAAACAAGAAACACACATATTTTGCAAAAGCCCATCCAGTAGCCGGCGCCGCCAAGTTCTGAACCTTTTCTCAGAAGCAATCGTTCCTGAAGCTAACGCACACTCGGTTCAAACCAGCAGGAACCCTTTTGCAGCAAGCTGTTTCTCCTTGAAAAGCCAATTTGATCGAAGAATAGAAGCACAATCCAAGCGTGTTTCTTGAAAGACTCACCACCGTTTTAAGCCTTCCTTGATAGCGGCCACCCTTCCAACCTTCCGGTTGTGCCCCGGACTGCGAGCTGGTGTTTGGGGCCCCGTTCGTGCGCTAAGAGCGAATCTTCCGGACGAAAATGACTTAGCCACGGGCCTCACGGGCCTGACATTAGCCTGACTCAGCTTCCTGTAGACACGTTCTGTACCGACGAACAATTGGACCCTACAGATGTGACTCCCGCAGACTAAGAAAAGCTTACTGAGATGACAAACATGAGCCCAGCCCGGAAAGAGAAAGGGCGACAGTCTCACGCAAGGTGTCAGTTGATCTTAGGGCTTGGGCTGACTGAAGACGCACATGGCAGTGAATGCTTCCAGCAAGTTCCCACAGCACTGGGAAAGTAGCGCAACACTTTAACCCTGAAGTTCTCAGCTTCCCAAGAATAGAAGAGTCGGAGATGTTTCTCGGGTTTGTTGTGTGTTCGTTTGCCCAGCTCGCTGGTGGTCAGGAGTATTACCCCCTTTTGGCTTGGGTTGACATGTCGCGTATGTCACCAGAGGATTCAGGTTGCAACAAATGCAATGATTGGCGTCCCAGGAGCAGGTATGAGCCGAGTAGTTGCAACATTCATCTCTCCCTGGAAGTAGTGCTGATTTTCGCTTGCAACTCTAGGGTTTGAAGGAGACCTGAGTTCTGCAGGATGTAGCATTGCTTGAAGTTCTGTTTTTATTTTGACCGCATGGCGCTTTTGGCAAGCTCCTTTCCGCAGGCAAGTCCAGACCTGGCTTCAGAAGGAGAAGGCGCGAATAATTTGCGAAAGTGAGATCCTCACGTACTGTGGATGGACGAAATCCTGCACCGCCAAAGACACCCTGGAATGATGATTCCCCTGTAAGTACCAACAAAAACAATGGTTTCCCCTGGTTTCCAAATGGCGCAATTCGTCCATCCACAGAATCTCCTCCGGTTTGAAGGGGCCCGAAAGTAAAGTCTGCCAGGCGCCGCTGGATGCCTTTGAGCCGCGGCCGCTGATTCCAGGCCTTCCGACGGCCTAAGTTGGGCGCGTCTGCTTTTCTCGGTTCCCGTTTCACCCAAAAGCACACCTGCCGTTGTTAGAGGTTCACGTATGTTGACACGTACCTATCTTGCGGATGACAGTGTTGGTAGGGCTTTTGTTTACTAGGGCTGGTCCCCCTGCTTGTAGGTAGGTAGGTAGGCAGGTAGGTAGGGTTAGGGTTCATTCGAGCTTGGCCAAGGGGATTGGTTTTGGCGCGTTGGGGGAGCGTTACCCAACTAGACCACGGTTGGCCCGAAAGCATAACATCGCAAGCGAGGTCGGCCCAACGCCTGGGACATGTGCAAGTTGCTCTGCGCAAGTTGCTTTGCGCAAGTTGCTCTGTGCAAGTTGCAGTGTGTGCAAGTTGCTCTGCGCAAGTTGCTCTGGGCAAGGTGCTCTGCGCAAACTGGTCTGCGCAAGTTGCTGTATGCAAGTTGCTCCGTGCAGCTTGCGACGCCCGCCCGCGGACCAGGGAGGAATCGAACCCGCGACCCGCCGGTCCCGGGAGCAGGCGCGCGAACCACGAGACAACTCGCGAGGACCAGTTCGAACAACAAAAAATGCAAAATCCTCGAGTTTTGGTACCTCGCGCGAGCGTCGCAGAAAGCGCAAAAAACCTTGAGTTTTTGCACCTCGACCACGCCGATCCTCGGAGAGGGTCGCGCGAGCGCCGCAGAAATCGCAAAAAAAACCTCGAGTTTTGCACCTCGACCACGCCGATCCCCGCAGATCGCGCGGGCCCAAACAAAATCGCAAAAAACCTCGAGTTTTTGCACCTCGACCACGCCAATCCCCGCAGAGGGTCGATTTTCGTAGAGTGTCGTCGGCGCTACCCCGCCGCCCTAAGAAGAGATTTTAACTCCTCGCAAGTCAATTGCACTTGACTCCTTGCACTTGCAACTTGCACTTGGCTCCTTGCACTTGCAACTTGCACTTGACTCCATGCACTTGCAACTTGCACTTGCACGGGCACTTGCAACTTGCACTTGACTGCAAATGGTGCAATGACTCCTTGCAATGACTCCTTGCAACTGACTCCTTGCAATGACTCCTTGCAATGACTCCTTGCAATGACTCCTTGCAATGACTCCTTGCAATGACTTTCATGATGATGATTCCTTGCAATGACACCTTGTAATGACTCTCATGAGAACAACTCAAGTGAACCCAGCGGAAGAACCCTTCGCAATGCTTTCGGGAAAAAAGCCAACAATTCACTTCCTGCTAAACCAGCAACACAGCTAGCACAGATCAGCTCCAAGCCAACAAAATGTACACAAAGTCAACCGAAAAGTCCAGTGCTCAGCCGCAGCCGTAAGAAAAGCTAGCAACCAGCCCTAGCAAAAGGCAAAACAAAGACCTCTATATAGGGGTGTGGCTCAAAATCAAGCAGCAGGGGGTACGCAGGTTTTGGTCCATGTTTCCACTTACACCGGTTTTTGAGCCACAGCCATATACCCCTTCTTGCTGTAGAATGGATGCGAGCTTGGGTGGCTCGCATTGGGTCGCAGGCCTGGTGGAAGCCGCGGAAGCCAAGGGAGGCAAGACCATTGGCCGGGCAGTGGAGGAAGTCTTGGCATGGCTTTCCGAGGACTGAACTTTTGGCGAACGGAAAGGCACATAGGTGTTGGCCGTTTTTGCTGGAAAAATAGAGGGCGATTCCTGGTTTACCTGTTGGTTTAATCATCTACCAGGGAAACCCATCTATTTCCCCTAAAAGGACAGCTATGCAAAGACATGTCATGTGTGCGACTGACACAATTTTTGGCGGTCTGCTGTTAGTTTGGGAGGAGGAGAGGGGGAGCAACCCCAAATTTCTCACCGAAACCAGGGGGAATCAAAACTAATTTGTTTCTGGGTTATGTGTGGCTTTCTTTGCTACAATCGAAACTTGGGCAAGTGAGGTGCCAGGACAGTCCCAACGGCCACGTTTTTGATGCTTTGGCTGTGGGTAGAGTCCTTCAAGGTTTGATAATATGGGCGTGGGTCAAAATCGATGGTACCATTTTGGGGTAGGTGCACCACCCATTTTTGAACCTATTTTTGTGGGGATTGGGATGTTCACTGGGGGCTAACCGGGGGATTTTGACCCACAGCCATATGACTCATGCGGCGCAGGAAGCCTTCACAGAAGCGGCGGCGTCCAGCCTTTCCGAGCACGGGCCGTGGCGTGTGTACGAGTGAAGGTGGTCAAGGGTTGCATTTTGACAACTTTGGAGGAACAGGCATAATAGGCAATCACCTGAAAAGTGGTTGGTGGACATAAGTCCCCACCAAAATGATGTCCACATAAGGGCCCCTAATTAAAATTCACACCTATTTGCTTCCTCTGGAAGTGCGTCACTTGAAGCCGCCAGCTCGCCACTTGAGGCTTCAAGCCCAAGAAGAGCAGCTTCTTCAGCAGGAGAGATCTGATCTGAGGGGAGGGGATGTCAAACATGTTGCTCGTTTTTGGACCCCGAGGGCCTTGTGCCGCCTTAAGGGGATGGCACAAAGGGCCCCTGAAAAGCACGACTAAGCCTCAGCCTTCTCAAGGAAAATTACTTTCAAGAGGGGGGCCATGCACCTCTCGACAATTCGACTTGTTTGAGCGACTAGGGGCGTGCAGTGGAATGTGCAACCAGATGCAGATTCCTATGGCCGGACTGGGACATGTTTCGCATCGCAGGCCTTGGCAGCATCTGCAGGCCCTGACATTTGCAGTCAGACACCCTTGTGGACGTCAGCTGTAGTGCTTTGGGTCCAGACAAACTGTCGATAGCCCTGGACGAGGTGAAGTTAGCTGGAGCTCTGAAGAAGACAGGCGCAGCGACATAGGATGTGAAGCTGTGGATAAGCAACCTATGGATGCTCGAGATGAATCGGCCTTGATCAGTGCCATTTGCATCGGTTTCGTTCCCGAATCGTACGTGTGGGCTGCGACACGAAGGCTCATGGCAGCAGCCCTGGCCGCCAGTGCAGAGCAGGCTGGCAACGTCCCCGCTCTGAATTCCATTGTAGAGGTGCAGCCAACGTCACCCTAGTCCATATCTTCCGGGGATACCAACATGGGGCGTGCTTCTTTTATAAGAGCCAGGGCACTCATGAACTCACACATACTTGCATTTTCATCAGTGCCCTTGCTCTTCGGTTTTTGCGTAGCTTGTATTTTCCGACTTGCGCAATTGTGCACTTTGTCGCCCTCAGGCAGTGGAGCAGTGCAGAAATCACGTAGCCGAGGAGGAGGCTGACTTGCAGGCCAATTGGATGGGTGGATTTTTGTGCAAGCGCTCCGATTGCAAAGTTAGGGATTAGGGTTCAAGCATCCTAGCTGTCTATTTTATGGCGAGCTCACCCAGGATACCATGCTGAAGGTCCCTCACTCGAGCCAATCCAAACCCGGGGAGATGAAGGTTAGTAAAGGACGATCCCAACCAGAAATAGCTGCGGCCGCCTTCTTAATTCTTTACCTGGTTCTGGGTAGACCATTTTAATACCGGGTTTTGATTATGACTCACTTGGGATCCTAATGTGAGTGTTGGTTGTTTTGTACATTTGCAGATCCCAGACACTGGAGCTGGCAAATTGCATAAACCCTGTGAATAAGGAGGGGGGTTGAGAATAAGGTTTGCGGTGTCCGGTGTTTTTGCAACCCTAGTCTGTTTAGACATATGTATGAATTGGAGGGCCCCTGTTAATAGTTGTTTCTTCGAAACTCAAACTTAGGGGGTGTCCCCCCAGGGGACACAATCCCAGGTGTTTCAAGGTTGTTGTTTGTAATCAAGGCTTTTGAACCCATGTTTATCGCTGCTTTGGGCCGTTCAGGCACCAGTTGGGATCAGACATGGCTTTTCTCACAACGCAAACTTGGGGGACCCCCCATGCTCTGCAATGTGGCATTGGTAGAGCACATATTCAGTCATTGGTCGTTAGCCTCCATTTTTGTTTCAGTAGAACAGATGACCCAATGCTCCATAGGCGATCAGCTTTGAACAGTTCAATCACCAGTTGGAATCGGTATTATTTGCTCAAAACGCAAACTTGGGGGACACCCGGCTTTGCAATTCAGTCATTGGTTGTGAGCCTGCAATTTCTGAGAAATTCCGCTCGCGATGCTTAAATGAAAGCAGTCGTTGTTGGCTTAGGATGACTCATGCATCAGACACATCTAAAAGCGAAACTCCGGTACGTTTGCTGCGCGCTTGCACTGAGAAATTCCGCTAGCAATGCCCAAATGAAAGCAGTCAGTCGTTGTTGGCTTAGGGTGACTCAGGCATCAGACACATCTAAAGCGAAACTCCGGTACGTTTGCTGCGCGGTTGCACTGAGAAATTCCGCTAGCAATGCCCAAATGAAAGCAGTCAGTCGTTGTTGGCTTAGGGTGACTCAGGCATCAGACACATCTAAAAGCGAAACTCCGGTACGTTTGCTGCGCGCTTGCACTGAGAAATTCCGCTAGCAATGCCCAAGTGAAAGCAGTCAGTCGTTGTTGGCTTAGGGTGACTCAGGCATCAGACACATCTAAAGCGAAACTCCGGTACGTTTGCTGCGCGCTTGCACTGAGAAATTCCGCTAGCAATGCCCAAATGAAAGCAGTCAGTCGTTGTTGGCTTAGGGTGACTCAGGCATCAGACACATCTAAAAGCGAAACTCCGGTACGTTTGCTGCGCGCTTGCACTGAGAAATTCCGCTAGCAATGCCCAAATGAAAGCAGTCAGTCGTTGTTGGCTTAGGGTGACTCAGGCATCAGACACATCTAAAAGCGAAACTCCGGTACGTTTGCTGCGCGCTTGCACTGAGAAATTCCGCTAGCAATGCCCAAATGAAAGCAGTCAGTCGTTGTTGGCTTAGGGTGACTCAGGCATCAGACACATCTAAAAGCGAAACTCCGGTACGTTTGCTGCGCGCTTGCACTGAGAAATTCCGCGGCGATGCCCAAATGAAAGCATAACCAGGGACTTCCAGCAATCACGGTCCTTAGATATTAGGTGCCCTCGTTTCGGGACTGACTCCCCCCCCCACCCGCAGCCCAGTTTACAAAACACAGTGTATACGGCCGGCGTTCCCCCCCCCCCCGCCCCACCCCCTTCAAAAAAACACATGTTCTCAAGGAGCGACCGCAATGAATTCCTTATTCTCAAGGAGCGTCCTTATTGGCCAGCATTTTTTTTTAATGACAAGCACACATCCTTAATTACAAGCAGGTGCTTGTAGATAAGGATCTTGGAAAAGAAACAGATCCTTAATGACAAGCAAAAATCCTGATTTTTGACAAGCAAAATCCTCAATGACAAGCAACAAATCCTTAATCTCAAGCAGGTGCTTGTAATTAAGGATTTTTGACCAGCAAAAACCCTTAATGACAAGCAAAAACCCTTAATTACACGCAAGGTGCTTTTAATTAAGGATTTTTGTCCAGCAACAATCCTTAATGACAAGCAAAAATCCTTAATGACAAGTAAAAATGCTTAATTACAAGCGGGTGCTTGTGATTAAGGATTTTTGACCAGCAAAATCCTGAATGACAAGCAACTTAATTACAAGCAGGTGCTTGTAATGAAGCATTTTTGACCAGGAAAATTCCTTACTGACACGCAAAAATCCTTAATTACAAGCACCTGCTTGTAATTAAGGATTTTTGACCAGCAAACCCCTTAATGACAAGCAAACATCCTGAATTACAAGCAGGTGCTTGTAATTAAGGATTTTTGACCAGCAAAAATGCTTAATGACAAGCAAAAATCCTTAATTACAAGCAGGTGCTTGTAATTAAGTATGTTTGACCAGCAAAAATCCTTAATGACAAGCAAACATCCTTAATTACAAGCAGGTGCTCGTAATTGAGGATTTTTGACCAGCAACAAATCCTGAATGGCAAGCAAACATCCCTAATTACAATCAGGTGCTTGCAATTAAGGATTTTTGACCAGCAAAAATCCTGAACGACAAGCAACCATCCTTAATTACAAGCAGGTGCTTGTAATTAAGGATTTTTGACCAGCAAAAATCCTTAATGACAAGAACAATTCCTTAATTACAAGCAGGTGCTTGTAATTAAGTATGTTTGACCAGCAAAAATCCTTAATGACAAGCAAACATCCTTAATTACAAGCAGGTGCTCGTAATTGAGGATTTTTGACCAGCAACAAATCCTGAATGGCAAGCAAACATCCCTAATTACAATCAGGTGCTTGCAATTAAGGATTTTTGACCAGCAAAAATCCTGAACGACAAGCAACCATCCTTAATTACAAGCAGGTGCTTGTAATTAAGGATTTTTGACCAGCAAAAATCCTTAATGACAAGCAACCATCCTTAATTACAAGCAGGTGCTTGTAATTAAGGATTTTTGACCAGCAAAAATCCTTAATGACAAGCAAACATCCTTAATTACAAGCAGGTGCTTGTAATTAAGGATTTTTGACCAGCAAAAATCCTTAATGACAAGCAAACATCCTTAATTACAAGCAGGTGCTTGTAATTAAGGATTTTTGACCATCAAAAATCCTTAATGACAAGCAAAATTCCTTAATTACAAGCAGGTGCTTGTAATTAAGGATTTTTGACCAGCAACAATCCTTACTGACAAGCAAACATCCTTAATTACAGGCAGGTGCTTGTAATTAAGGATTTTTGACCAGCAACAAAGGACAAGCAAACATCCTTAATTACAAGCAGCAGGTGCTTGTAATTAAGGATTTTTGACCAGCAAAAATCCTTAATGACAAGAAACAATCCTTAATTACAAGCAGGTGCTTGTAATTAAGGATTTTTGACCAGCAAAAATCCTTAATGACAAGAAAAAATCCTTAATTACAAGCAGGTGCTTGTAATTAAGGATTTTTGACCAGCAAAAATCCTTAATGACAAGAAAAAATCCTTAATTACAAGCAGGTGCTTGTAATTAAGGATTTTTGACCGGCAAAAATCCTTAATGACAAGCAACCATCCTTAATTACAAGCAGGTGCTTGTAATTAAGGATTTTTGACCAGCAAAAATCCTTAATGACAAGAAAAAATCCTTAATTACAAGCAGGTGCTTGAAATTAAGGACTTTTGACCAGCAAAAATCCTTAATGACAAGCAAAAATCCTTAATTACAAGCAGGTGCTTGTACTTAAGGATTTTTGACCAGCAAAAATCCTTAATGGCAAGAACAAATCCTTAATTACAAGCAGGTGCTTGTAATTAAGGTTTTGTGGCCTTTGTGTCCCCCACGTCTCAAGGAGCGTCCGCAATTACTTCCTTAGTCTCGGCCAGCCGGACCAACTTCAATCTCTAGGCCATGGACGCTAGCCCTGCGCACTGGTAAAGCAGTTTGCGCGAGGAAAACACGAATCCGATAGGCAAGAAACCGTAGTTACAGGAAAAATCCAGATTTTCGAGGAGAAATCCTGATTTGCAAGCAAAAAAACGTATTCGCAAGCAAACCTCCTTTTTCGCAGAAAAATCCTTAATGACAAGCACAATTCCTTAATGACAAGCAAAAATCCTTAATTACAAGCAGGTGCTTGTAATTAAGATTTTTTGGCTTTTGTGTCCCCCACTTTTCAGACAAAAAAACATGAAAATCCTGGTTTTGGACCGAAAACTGGGGGACAGAATTGAGGGTCTGTCCCCCAGTTTTCGGTCCAAAACCAGGATTTGCGGCTTTTGTTTTTGAAAAGCGGGGGACGCAAAAAAGCGAACATCCTTAATTACAAGCACATGCTTGTAATTAAGGATTTTTCCTTGTAATTAAGGATTGTTGCTTGTCATTAAGGAATTTTGCTCGTCATTAAAGGTTCTTTCTGCGAAAAAGGAGTTTTGCTTGCGAATAACGATTTTTGCTTGCAAATCAGGTTTTTTCCTCGAAAATCTGGATTTTTCCTGTAACTATGGTTTCTTGCCTATCTGATTCGTGTTTTCCTCGCGCAAACTGCTTTACCAGTGCGCAGGGCTAGCGTCCATGGCCTAGAGATTGAAGTTGGTCCGGCTGGCCGAGACTAAGGAAGTAATTGCGGACGCTCCTTGAGACGTGGGGGACACAAAGGCCACAAATCCTTAATTACAAGCACCTGCTTGTAATTAAGGTTTTTTTCTTGTCATTAAGGATTTTTGTTGGTCAAAAATCCTTAATTACAAGCACCTGCTTGTAATTAAGGATTTTTCTTGTCATTAAGGATTTTTGCTGGTCAAAAATCCTTAATTACAAGCACCTGCTTGTAATTAAGGATGTTTGCTTGTCATTAAGGATTTTTGCTGGTCAAAAATCCTTAATTACAAGCACCTGCTTGTAATTAAGGATTGTTGCTTGTCATTAAGGATTTTTGCTGGTCAAAAATCCTTAATTACAAGCACCTGCTTGTAATTAAGGATTTTTGCTTGTCATTAAGGATTTTTGCTGGTCAAGAATCCTTAATTACAAGCACCTGCTTGTAATTAAGAAGTTTTTCTTGTCATTAAGGATTTTTGCTGGTCAAAAATCCTTAATTACAAGCACCTGCTTGTAATTAAGGATTGTTTCTTGTCATTAAGGATTTTTGCCGGTCAAAAATCCTTAATTACAAGCACCTGCTTGTAATTAAGGATTTTTTCGTGTCATTAAGGATGTTTGCTGGTCAACAATCCTTAATTACAAGCACCTGCTTGTAATTAAGGATGTTTGCTTGTCATTAAGGATTTTTGCTGGTCAAAAATCCTTAATTACAAGCACCTGCTTGTAATTAAGGATGTTTGCTTGTCATTAAGGATTTTTGCTGGTCAAAAATCCTTAATTACAAGCACCTGCTTGTAATTAAGGATTTTTTCTTGTCATTAAGGATTTTTGCTGGTCAAAAATCCTTAATTACAAGCACCTGCTTGTAATTAAGGATTTTTTCTTGTCATTAAGGATTTTTGCTGGTCAAAAATCCTTAATTACAAGCACCTGCTTGTAATTAAGGATTTGTTCTTGTCATTAAGGATTTTTGCTGGTCAAAAATCCTTAATTACAAGCACCTGCTTGTAATTAAGGATTTTGCTTGTCATTAAGGATTTGTGCTGTCAAAAGTCCTTAATTACAAGCACCTGCTTGTAATTAAGGATGTTTGCTTGTCATTAAGGATTTTGCTGGTCAAAAAATCCTTAATTACAAGCACCTGCTTGTAATTAAGGATTTTTTCTTGTCATTAAGGATTTTTGCTGGTCAAAAATCCTTAATTACAAGCACCTGCTTGTAATTAAGGATTGTTTCTTGTCATTAAGGATTTTTGCTGGTCAAAATTCCTTAATTACAAGCACCTGCTTGTAATTAAGGATGTTTGCTTGTCATTAAGGATTTTTGCTGGTCAAGAATCCTTAATTACAAGCACCTGCTTGTAATTAAGGATGTTTGCTTGTCATTAAGGATTTTTGCTGGTCAAAATCCTTAATTACAAGCACCTGCTTGTAATTAAGGATGTTTGCTTGTCATTAAGGATTTTTGCTGGTCAAAAATCCTTAATTACAAGCACCTGCTTGTAATTAAGGATGTTTGCTTGTCATTAAGGATTTTTGCTGGTCAAAAATCCTTAATTACAAGCACCTGCTTGTAATTAAGGATGTTTGCTTGTCATTAAGGATTTTTGCTGGTCAAAAATCCTTAATTACAAGCACCTGCTTGTAATTAAGGATGTTTGCTTGTCATTAAGGATTGTTGGGGGTCAAGAATCCTTAATTACAAGCACCTGCTTGTAATTAAGGATGTTTGCTTGTCATTAAGGATTTTTGCTGGTCACAAATCCTTAATTGCAAGCAGGTGCTTGTAATTAAGGATTTGTGCGTGTCATTAAGGATCTGTTTCTTGTCAAAAACCCTTAATTACAAGCGGGTGCTTGTAATTAAGGATTTGTGCGTGTCATTAAGGATCTATTTCTTCTCAAAAATCCTTAATTGCAAGCACCTGCTTGTAATTAAGGATTTGTGCGTGTCATTAAGGATCTGTTTCTTGTCAAAAATCCTTAATTACAAGCACCTGCTTGTAATTAAGGATTGTTGCTTGTTATTAAGGATTGTTGCTGGTCAATAATCCTCAATTACAAGCACCTGCTTGTAATTAAGGATGGTTGCTTGTCATTAAGGATTTTTGCCTTAATTACAAGCACCTGCTTGTAATTAAGGATGGTTGCTTGTCATTAAGGATTTTTGCTGGTCAAAAATCCTTAATTACAAGCACCTGCTTGTAATTAAGGATTTGTGCGTGTCATTAAGCATCTGTTTCTTGTCAAAAATCCTTAATTGCAAGCACCTGCTTGTAATTAAGGATTTGTTGCTTGTCATTAAGGATTGTTGCTGGTCAAAAATCCTTAATTACAAGCATTGTTGCTTGTCATTAAGGATTTTTGGTGGTCAACAATCGTTAATTACAAGCACCTGCTTGTAATTTAAGGTTTTGTTGCTTGCCATTAAGGATTCTTGCTGGTCAAAAATCCTGAATTACAAGCACCTGCTTGCAATTAAGGGTGTGTTGCTTGTCATTAAGGATTTTTGCTTGTCAAACTTCCTCAATTTCAAGCACCTGCTTGTAATTAAGGGTTTTTGCTTGTCATCAAGGATTTTTGCTTGTCATTAAGGTTGTTGTTTGGTCAGACATCCTTAATTGCAAGCACCTGCTTGTAATTAAGGATTCTTGCTTGTCATAAAGCATTTGTGCTTGTCAAAAATTATATTTTGAAGCAAGGATTTTCACGTGCTCATTAAGGACTTTTGCTGGTCAACAATCCTTAATTACAAGCACCCGCTTATAACTAAGGATTTTTGCTTGTCATTAAGGATGTTTTTCTTGTCAAAATCCTTAATTAGAAGCACCTGCTTGTAATTAAGGATTTTTGCGTGTCATTATGGATTTGTTCTTGTCATGGGGGGGGGCGCCGGCCGTATACAAAAACTGTTTTTTGTAAACAGCTGGGCGGACTGCGAATTTGTCAACATGAAAAGCAATTGTTTCTCCACTCCTCTCCTCTTGGTTTGAAGTTTGAGGTATATAGACGTTTGCGTGTGTCGTCCGTTTGCCACCTTCGTGAGTTTTCCCCTCCTCTCCTTTTGGTTTGTGCTTTGCGTTTTCCCTTCCCTCTCTGTATGCCCCTTCTCGTAAAGTATATGGACGTTTGTGTGTGTTCTCTGTTTGCCACCTTCGTGATTTCTCCCCTCCTCTCCTTTTGGTGTGTGCTTTGCGTTTTCCCTTCCCTCATCTGCATGCCCCTTGTCGTGTCGTGGAGTATATGGACGTTTGTGTCTGCGTTCTCCGTTTGCCACCTTCGTGATTTCTCTTCTGCTCTCCTTTTGGTTTGTGCTTTGTGTTTCTCTGTGTGCCCCTTGTCGTGTAATTAGCACATGGACGCTTGTGTGTGTGTCCTCAGTTTGCCACCTTCGCGATTTCTCCTTGGTTCCTCACGGTGTTTCTTTGAGGGAACCCTTCTCTCGTCAGGGAAACAAGTAGAACTTCATCAAGCGGGGTCCATCTTAAGACATGTGTGCCCACCAGTGAGGTCCAATCCCAACCAATCCAAATCACAGGTGACGTGAGGTTTGGCATGTATTTGCCCGGATGGGTTTCAGATGTTTTTAGTTGGTTCCCTTTTGGGGGTTTCCCAATTTCTAACTTGGTTTGTGCTCTGTTTTCTCATGTAGACTAGACAGGCACAGCCAAGCCACACAGTTCTATCGTTGAGTGCCTACTTGAAGGACGCTCGATGCCAACCCTTCGACCATGTTTGCCATTCATCGCCCATTCCTAGGGGTAGGACACACGTAGGGTTTCCACATACTGCATGTGCATAGATGACTTGCTTTTGGGGGGGCTGAGAGCAACGTTGTCGTTTTCCATTTGCATTACACAAGCAATGTGGTTTGCGATGTGCACGACACAGCTGGCGAGGGAGTTGCCGGAGTATTGCAGCATAGCTTCAATACTTGCCGACGCTGTTTTTTCGTGATTGTTGGAGCTCGCATTTTCCGATCAGCCCAAAAAAGCTCAGGGGCCATTTTGCATCCGGATTGTCAAATCACATGTCTTAGCAACCCTTATTCTCAAGCACATGTCTTAAATACAAGCCAGAACCCCTATTTGTGCAATTCCCCAACTGGAGCAACTCGCACATACCTGAGCCCGGGAAGTGCAATGCTGAGCCGAACTTGGGAGGCGGCACTGCTGCTTTCACGACAGCTTGCGCCAGAAGTTGTGGTCTCCAGTGATGATGAGGCTGGCTACTGTTCATGAGCCATGGTTGATTTCACTTAGACTTATTGCGAACTGTGGGTAGACAAGGAGGCAGTTGGGGCACAAGGCAGGGGCACAGATTCTAAAGGCCCCCCGCGTTGCTCTTTTTTTTTTGGTAGGACGGGTGCTTTTCATTGGTCATGAAGATGGGAAATAGAGTCTCACATGAGCGCCGGTCAGCGCCGTGTGTAATGTCCGCTTGGGATGGTAAAGGCGGGGACCGCCGACCTAGGATAATATTGCTGAAGATTCCTGTTGAGACTGGATTTGACCTTTTGATTTAGTATTGGTGGACTTGAGTTTCCATTGACTCAGCATTGCTTCCTTCTGGTTCGGAACTGAGTTTGCTGGAGCTTTCTTTTTGAAATTGGGAACTGAGTTTCCATTTGATTCAGTATTGCCAGAGCTTCCTTTTGAGATCTGGAATTTACTTTCCATTTGATTTAGTATTGCTGGAGTTTCCATTTGATTTAGTATTGCTGGAGCCTCCTGTTGAGTTCTGGCACTGACTTTCCATTTGATTCAGTATTGCTGGAGCTTCCTTTTTCGATCTGAGAATCTGGAGTTGGGTTCCATTTGATTTCATATCGCTGGAGATTCCTTTCGAGCTCTTGATTTGAGTTTCCCTGTTTCCCTTCCATTTGATCTAGTAGTGCGCGAGCTTCCTTTTGGGATTCTGATTTGAGTTTCCATTTGGTTTAGTATTGCGGGAGCTGCCTTTTGAGATCTGGAAAGGAGAGCCATTTGTTTTAGTATTGCCGTGGCTGATCTGGTGTTGATTTGAGTTTCCATTTGATTCAGTAGTGCTGGAGCTTGCTTTTGGGATTTGATTTGAGTTTCGATTTGAGTTAAATTTTCTATAACTGATTGGGAGTTGAGTTTCCATTAATTGTGTTTTGCTGGAGCTTTCTTTTGATTTGGAGCGGAATTTCAATTTATTTCAGTATTGCTGGAGCTTCTCTTTGAGACGTTGATTTGAGTTTTTTTTGGGGTCAGGCAAGAAGATTTTGTTCTAGGGGGCCCTGACACAAAGTGAACTGGGGGGGTCTGAAGTACTGCCCGGTTCTGTGGGTTTGATTGTGGGCAGGTTTTGAACAAGAGACATGCGAGAAACATAGGGCTTGGGAAAGCTGACCATTTTGAATTTGAGGAGCCGGGCCAAATTATCTTGGGTGTATGTGTTTGGTTTTTTATCTAACTATTTTTCTTGAGTTTCCCGGGGTGGGTGCTGGTCTTTCTTCCAGGTGCTTGTATTGTTTTTTGTCGGGCCCGCTTGTCTGTATTCCACATCCATGAACTTGTGCTAGGTGTGTGTGTGTGTGTGTGTGTTTGCTTGCGGGTGGGTATTCAAGCGTACGCGCACACACACAGACAACCACACACACACACACCACACACACACACAAACCAATACACACCAGCACAAGCACACGCAAACACACAAACGCGCCCACACGGCCGTATTTGTGTGTGGGTGCCGTTTGTTTTGTGTTTTTAGATGCAAACCAAAAGCACAACCAACCATTTTGGGGTCCCACACGCTCACACGCAGATGGCTTACACAGGCAGATTATCACACAGGCTCTAGGTTGGCAAAGCTGCTGGGAGTGCTTTGCACAAGTTCTTCTCGGTCGCTGCCATCGCTGCATTTCAGGCAGGACTTGAAGAGCAACAGTCCAAGCGGCGCAAGGCGCGGCATAGATTCGGAGGCGCCAAGTTGATGAAGCCAACTGGGTGTGGGTCAAAATTTTATAACCCGCCAAACCAGGGTTCCATTGTGGGTGCCTATTTTTGACCCACACCCAACTGTGATAAGGATTCTGATTTTGGGAGTCAGGACCATGGCCAAGATATCTTGGGCTGGCTCTGCTGATTGAATTCCTGGTTTCCGGTGCAAATGATTGCTGTAGAGTAGTAGAGGTCGCGTGTTGGTGTCAGCGCTTTGGGCAAGTGAGACTCTCCGCTTGCCCCTGGCACCCGGAGAGCTTTCCAGGCTGGAAGTGGATCGCCAGCGATCTGAGCACGCATGCCCCGGCGGTGCTTTTTCCGTTTCACCTTGTGGCACAGCGCGTGCTGTAAGACACATTAGTGAAAAATCACAGAGACTGTATCAGAGTGGCCAAGTTAAGTCACACAGCCAAATCTGACTGCAGGGTGTCAGACTGAGTTGAACACCGTGCTCGCCACGCCTAGGCTCTTATACTTTGACACAGTGTCTTCGCTTTGAGTCTTCTAGCGGCTCAATGATCTTTTCCCGGACACGCAAACTTAGATCCTTGTTTGAGAAAGTGCAGTGGCAGTAGCAAAGGCAACGCAGCAGCAGTCTCTCCATATTATTCAGAAGGCTTGCCATTTAGAAGTTAGACAGTATCCTCCGTAGCAGTCATGGTGCCTATGATTGGCGCAGCACTCAGTGCACTCAGGTATCGGGCATCCACAGACTTTGTTGCTGATCGCAAGGTTTGGCCTATTGGCCGCTTCTGCTTTGGCTGCCACTTCTTGCAGTGCAGTATGCATCCGTTGGGGCCACAGCTGACACCACGAGGCTCGATCAACCAGTCCAGCAATCTATGGTCACTTTGGAAGGGACATGGTGCAAAACCGGGGGACACTAATTTTCCCATGTCCAATTTGGCAATCGTAGAGGTTGACAGTACTCCATGAGTAAATCTGGCTCACAGGGACATTTGTAGATTCACTTGCCCGCACTGTTCACTCTTCAATCGGATGAGCCAAGCAACTGCTTGCGCTTGCTCAGGTCATTTTCTCTGGCACTGGCACTCAGGCATTGTGGCTGCTTCACTTGCATGAAATTGCACTGCGCGGATATCTTCGGACTGAGCGGGCCTATTTGGGTGTGTGTTTTTTTTTTTGTTGAAGGCACCCATTTCTGGGGTGGCGTTTGCCTGAAATGCAACGGGAGTTCCCTCATAAAACACACGTCGATTTGTGGTCTCTGGATTCGCGTTTCAGTCCGTGGTGCGCTCCGTGACCGGCATCTTCGTGGACACGCCTTTGTGCGGTCGGGAGCACAGAGGGATTTGGCCAGGGTCCATCGTTTTCAAAGGCTCTGTACGCAAAAATTGGGTGCTAAGGGAACTCAAGGGAAACCACCCTTTGTAGGGGTTCTCCTATTTTGACACTTTCTATCGTGACTCCGGATATCGTCGGACATCGCTTGGTGGATTATTATAGGTGATTCCCCCCTATTAATCCACCAGAGGTTGATTACACAATCTTGAGTTTCAGTATGAGACGCGACTCTTTGCAGTTAGCCAACAAAACCTGCTACCTAGGAGTTCTGAAGATTGTGTGGATCGTGATGCTGGTGCTTTGCCAGATTCTTAGTCGGCCAAGCTTGCTGCAGGTTTGTCCTGCAGTCGTTGTGGTGCAGATATTGCCTGAGCATAAGTCTAGTTGCAAGGTTTGGATTGCGTGCGCAATGTGTTCAAGCCGTCTGGCCAGCCTGGCACAATTTGCGGCTGCAATCGGAAACCAGCAGCTGGACAACAGCCAGTGAGCGTATCGAAGCTGGCAATTGTGAAATGGCGTGTTCGGGACGTGAGCGGCTGATCACCATACTGAGAGTTGTTTGTGAAGGACTTGGGTGGCCCGGCCCCGAATTGTCCTCGCAAAAATCAGAGGTCCTAACTGCCCAATTGCCCCATACCCAGAGAAACGGTTAATAATGGGCTTATGTGTGTTTTCGTTGAACACACGTGCCGCCTTGAACGTCTGTAGCGCCAGGCGGCGACTCCTCAATGCAGACTGCCCAGATGTTTGACGCTTATGCGGCTAAGGCGCGCATCGTTTTGATTATCTTGCTGCGGTGGATGCTTACACAAACCACCCTCGCCACCTGAAACTTTACGCATGTTGAGCCAGAAACCACCAACTGGTCGAAATGTATTTTGTGCCATCAGCTGTATCCCGAGAGCAACCAAACAGCTTCCCCGTACTTGTTTTGGATTGGTGCAGGAGTTCCGGCTTCCCATTTACAAGAACTAAGGGTTCCCACCAATCCAAATCAACTGGGTGAATTACAACGATCTCACACGACCTCACCCCAAATGGTGGTTTATGTGGGGAATGACCCCCCAATCAACTTTAGTTCAGGCTGGTGAAATGTTATAATTCACCAATGAAATTCAAGTACAACCTACCTGAGCCGATTCTCTCAGGAAGGTGCCCTGGTCCTTGTGCTGAACCTGACCGCCATGATGGTGGACCATGGCCTGTTATTGCCGAAAAAGGGGTGTTTCTACCTGGCATTGGTCAAAAAGACGGGCAAAGAAATGCCCTCTACATGTTTGGTTGCGGTGCTTTTTACCAAATGTTATGCGTCTTTTTTTGTCATGGTCCGTCCCCTCTGATTCTTTTTGGTTGAAAAGGGAGGCCAAAAGAACCTCCAACATCTTGTGGGGTGAGAGCCGCCGCTTTTTTTTGTGAATGGCCAGGCCATTCAGGCGTTGCACGTGACCACGGGGCCAGGAGCCAAAGCGCCAAAGCGCCAAAGCGCCGTGGGCGTGTTGGTTTTACCGATATGGGTGTGGCTGAAAGTTTAAGAGTTAGGGTTACACAGGTTTTAGTCGTTGGTTCCATTTACCAAGGTGCCATTTTGGTACATTCTGAGCCACAGTCATATCCTGTTTGCTTCAAAAGGGACACCAACAGAAACACCGACCGCCGCGGTTTGGCACAAACTTGCCTGAGGCTTTGTGCCAAGCTGGAGCGTGACAGGGATGTCATGAAACGGCAGGCAGGGGTGGGACATGGCACGACTGCAGGACTGTATCCAGCGTGACTGATATTAGATGCCCTTGCCGCTCGCAGACAAGAGGTGTGTGTCTGTGACTAGTTCGGCACGACGTTTTGTAGCTTGGGAAAGTGGTGCCTGACAACTAGGCGCAGCAGGCGGGTGAGTCGGATGCCCAGACCTAGATGCCTTGCTCAAAGGACGGGTTGACTCTTTTGGCATGACGCAGGGAATAAGGGAGTGCGGAATGACCCCTACAAATGTGGTTTTCTTTCAGGGGACCCCTGGATTCATTCCCAACACCCTGGGTAGTTCCCTGCTGAGCACCAGCAAGATGAGAACAAGGGCTAAGGGGGACTTTGCACAACTGGGCATGATAGGCCAGTGGATTCCAGGATGATGCGTTTCGAGGTTCTCAAAGCAGCTTATGGCCGAGCAGAAGGGCGAGAAGCCGTCTCGGCCCCGACATTGTTTGGCCAGACCACGTAACATATAACGTAGTACCAGACCCATGTTGCGCTTTGAATAATCAAACTAGGACAGAGAGCAACATGCCTGACAAGAAGAAGAAGGAGGAAACGGAGGCAGCTGCCTTTTGCATGTGCCTTTAAAATGTCGTCGATACACATTTTGGTGAGCTCCATTCAAACAAAACACGGCTACTGGCCGGGAGTTGCTAGAAAATAATGCATATTTTTGCAGTCCAAGTCTCCTTGCAAGGTGTCCTCCGGGGCAATTTTGATGGTTCTTGAGGGGCAAAGGCCTTGATTGGTCGACACCTCATGTGTGCCTTTGACAGGATACGCTGCGGAGCCGGCACTGAGCCGCGCAGTTCTTTGCCTCTCGCGCTCTCATAGTTTTGACCCATCGATTTCACCCCTGGCGAGCACGTGGCAAAGTGTGGTCCCAAGTGTTGCACGGGTATGGCAAGTAGCGCTGGCTCGTTCGCTTGCATCTTGGTTTGTGACCTACCTGCCGGAACGGGAGACGACATGTGCGCACGTGGCCGAGCCTCAAAGACCATAGGCCAGACTCTGGGCCTCAGTAAAAGAGCGTGCCACCTGCTCAGCTGCACGCGTGAAGAAGGGTAGGGGAAGTTGGAAGTGAGCAGAGAAGTTGTCGTGAGAAGTGCCAAACGCTTTGGGCTCCAGTGATTTCTGCCCAACGAAGCTGGAAGGCAGCTTGGCATGCAGAGATCTTGTGTCCTTTTTTGCTTCCCTGTGAGGCCGCCATGTGGTAAGGCCGGGCTGCAAGCTACATGAATATGTGGGTTTGGGTCAAATTATGTCACCAGGAGACCGCAGGTTTTAGTCCTTGTTTCCTTTTCCAGGGTTCTGTTTTGGATTTTGGGTACCTACTTTTGACCCACACCCATGTGGTGCAATTGCCGGAGTCTGCTCGCGGTCGGAGCGGGTCATTGTGTATGTCTCATGCGAAAAACAAAACTGAACTGCCATCAGCCTTGGCAGTGCGCACAGAGACCAGCCAGGGTCACGATGAGCTCAGTGGGTAGATTTGCTTAACCCTTGCTTTGGCAAGGCACGATGGAGAGAGGAACTTTGGAAGTTCTGTTGTCATCCCAGCAAGTTCATTCTTTGAGAAACAGTGACTTTGACATGCTGAAGGGACCTGCAAGAGATTTGGGGCATAATAGAACAGACACGACTTGATTAAAGGTCACTTTGAAGACTGGTGATCAGGCCTTGCCATGGCACTGGGGCCACTTGTGGGATCCATCGGCTGGGAGCTTGGACGTCTGAAAGCCATGCGGAAGCGCGGGTGACTTGCTGGGTTGAACATGTAGATCATGAGACGAAAAAGGGTTTCGACTCAGGCATCCTGGCAGCAGTGGCGCTTCTGCTGTCACGGGAGACAGGATATGAGAGGTGCCTTGGACGGCATATGGCTCAAAAGCAATGCCAGAGTAAAGGTAGCAGGTTGCATTTGTATGACTCAAAAGCAATAGTCTTCAATGAGTGGCTCGCAGGCCTGACCGCTTCATCATAGCTACTTGGCCGCATCGTGAAATCTCAGGAGTCCTTGCGGGAGCTTGGACTTTTTCCTGGCACATTTCTGACATCCAAGCATCCTCCGGCCTGCCCACATCCCTGCCACTTGTGACTTCAACCAGTCTCCTACAGCAGTCCATTCATTTCCGGTTCTCCACCTTTCTTTTGTTTGGCGAGCGTCACATTCAGGAACCAGTAGTCAGATGTAGTCAGGACAGCTTCCAGGCAATGTCGCAGGTTGAAACTTGTGGCTTTCAGTGGGTTGTCGATCATTCGGAGGCACGCAAAGAAAACAACAAGTCACACAGACTGTCACATAACTCGGCAGTGCCTTCGGAGGTTGGACACTTTTTGGACACGCAGACATGGCCATTCTGAGGGGTATTCGAATACCCGGGTCCAAAAGTATCCAACCCCGAGCAGTCATACCCAGGCGACCTCCGCGGGCACGCCCAACGTGCTATGGGCGCGCATGCCATCCTTCCAAGACATGACGTTGCCCGTCAAGGCGATGCCATTGGCAACGTGCCATCCTTTTTGAGTGTCCCACTAAAAGCCCTTTTTGGTTGATCATGTTGATCTTTTCAAAAAGGACATCCCTGGAGAGTCTACCTTGCGGAAAGCAAACGTTATGGCTCGCAGGATCAGGCAGTACCCGCTGCTGAGATCCTCATAGACGGAGCCGCCAGCAGGTGGGGGCCTCACATTGGCTCAAATGGCACCTGCCAAAATTTCGGGACCACCAAAATGGTGCTTTCCCTTTGAGTTCTCTCCAAAAAAGAAGAAGAGCTACACATACACTTGCGCATACGTACACACCCACACACCCACACACACACACACACACGCACGCACGCACGCACGCACCCACACACACACACACACGCACGCACGCACGCACGCACGCACGCACGCATGCACGCACGCACGCACGCACGCACGCGCACGCGCACGCGCACGCGCACGCACACGCCCACGCCCACGCACACGCACACGCACACGCACACGCACACGCACACGCACACGCACACGCACACGCACACGCACACGCACACGCACACGCACACGCACACGCACACACGCACACGCACACACACACACACACACACACACACACACCACACGCACACGCACACGCGCGCACGCGCGCACACGCGCGCACGCGCCCGCGCGCACGGCGCGCGCGGTCGCGCGCGGTCGCACGCACGGCACGGCACGGCACGGCACGCACGGCACGGCACGGCACGGCACGGCACGGCACGGCACGGCACGGCACGGCACGGCACGGCACGGCACGGCACGGCACGGCACGGCACGGCACGGCACGGCACGGCACGGCACGGCACGGCACGGCACGGCACGGCACGGCACGGCACGGCACGGCACGGCACGGCACGGCACGGCACGGCACGGCACGGCACGGCACGGCACGGCACGCACGCGCACCGCACCGCACCGCACCGCACCGCACCGCACCGCACCGCACCGCACCGCACCGCACCGCACCGCACCGCACCGCACCGCACCGCACCGCACCGCACCGCACCGCACCGCACCGCACCGCACCGCACCGCACCGCACCGCACCGCACCGCACCGCACCGCACCGCACCGCACCGCACCGCACCGCACCGCACCGCACCGCACCGCACCGCACCGCACCGCACCGCACCGCACCGCACCGCACCGCACCGCACCGCACCGCACCGCACCGCACCGCACCGCACCGCACGCACGCACGCACGGCACAACACACAACACACAACGCACAACACACACACGCACACACCAAAATGCGCTGCGCACAGAAAGACCCTTGATTTCGATTTCCTTCCTTATTGCGACAAGAGTTGCAATACAGTAGAACAGAAACAACAGTCAAATTATGTGCCACACACAGGAGTTGACACCAAACAAACACAAACGAACATCCAACTGGGTGTCTCAAGTTTGGGGACCCTCCAAAGATTGCAACTTTCTGCTGGAAAGGAAGACCGCCATCACCATGTTTGTGGGCTTTCTATTCGTAGAGAGCCCAAAATTCGCCCATGGCGAGGTGTACAGGATGGACCTGCTCTGCAGACTCTGACCGGGGCTTGAAGGAGCCCAGCGGCCTGGCGCTGCCACCTCAGCTCAAGCGGGTCTACAAAAGGCTGTGGCTCAAAAAAGTGTACCCAAAATGGCATGGCATATGGAAAACAAAAAGACCGAGCCTGCGTAACCCCAGCTGTATGTAATATATATATATATATAATTTTGAACCACACCCAAATCATGCCGCATCACCGTTCAGAAGCCATGGAAGGCTTCGGTTCCCCTGTAAATACCAAGAAACCTTATGTGTTCAATTCCATGGTTTCATTTTGTGGGGCGAAATGGATATCGCCCATCCACAGTATGGTTGGTGGTGGTTTCCCGTAACATACAAGGGAGTCGGCAATTTTGAGACACGGTTTGAGCACAGCTTAAGGTTGACTTGACAAGCAAACCCTAAATGGGCATGGGTCAAAATCAAACCACCAGGGGACCGCAGGTTTTCGTCCTTGGTTCCATTTACCAGGGTTCCATTTTGGGTACCTAATTTTGACCCGCACCCAAGTGGTTTGTTTCCCCACCCAGGGTTCATCAAATGTCGTGCGATTTGGGCGTTTCTCAAAAGGCGGATGCCCTTTTGGTTAGTTTTGGAAGCGAAACTAGAAGGAATCCAACCATTTCAGGCGGCCCCTATTTTGCCAAAGACAACCTTTGAACCACTTAGGTGTGCAGTTCTTTTGAAGGCACCCATTTTGAGGGAAACCATCCATTTTGAGGGTTCTTTTGTTTTGTAATAAACCTGCTTAAATACTAAAGTGGAGATCGCCTAGAAGCTTCTTCTGGCAGGCACATCGTTGGCGGCAGCCCCTTCACTGTGAGACAGCCGCCACAAGAGATGTCACGCAAGACACCAGCAGCCGAAACAATGTTCAAATGAAGCGGAAGTCCATTCAAATGTCCCTTTCGCGCAAGTCTCAGCTTGTCGTTGCAAGGTTGTTCCAGAAGGGTGGTGGATCTGCATGGCTCTATGTATCAGATCCCAAGGATTCTCGGCGGCAACCAGCAAGGGTGTATCGGAACCAGCCAAAAGAAAGCCCACCCATTTGGGGACCCGTTTTGTTTTGACACATGACATGTCCACCTGATGTAGCCCGGATGCAATCGAAGATGGGTCTGGTCAATAGGCATAAGTGAAACCTGAGGTTGGCTTTGTGTACCGCTACGAAGCAGGGGCGCTCATTGTCGATACCAATCGAAAGACAAAGCATGCATTTTCCAGCTGTACATATTTGGCCCTGTACAACAGCCCAGACAAGGGCTGATGAAGCAAACCTCACGATTCATTGCTCAAGCTGGCAAATCTTCCCGGGGAAAACTGGCTAGTGTCAATCATGTGCCTTCCCAAGCAGCCGCCCCAGTTTTGCACCCCGGTTTTGTGAACGGCATGAAACGCATGCGGCTGCTTTGTCTTGCTGGTGCTCAGTAGGGAATGTGGGAATGAACCCAGGGATTCCCTGAAAGGAGCCCGCAAGGGGTGGTTTATAAGGGTCATTCCCTCATTCCCTGCAGAGCACCAGCAAGTTGTGGCGAGCGTTGTAGAATAGCCGCAGCCGAACCGAAGATGCCATAGGTCCCATTTTCCCGAGGTTTCACGCACCTGGCGTGGTACGCTGCAAGTGGGGCCGCAGCAGCTTGTGGCAAGCAATCTCAAGGAGCCGTGGCGCTGCAAATCGCAGAGTCTCCGGACTCGAGGTATGTCTGTCTGACTTTTTTGAAGTGCGAAGTGAGTATGCACTTGTCAAGACAACTGCATGAGGGTTGGCCAAGTTGGAAGCGAAGATGCAGTGCTTGTACATTCATGTAGGACAAAGCCCATTGGTTGGCTGTCGACAGCTATGGTAATTTGTTCTACACAGACAGCGAGGCAAGGCACATGTCACGATGCATGCTGCTTTGAGAACAAGATTCCCTGTGACCTATAACCTTTTGGGGCGGCATCCCTGAGCATGTGCCACGGACGCTGGCAATTCATTGGACAATTCCTGCGTGAGATGCGTGGAAGGCTGGCACAATTTCTATGATCAGTGCAGAGGACCCACCGTTGAGTTGAGATTCTGCCAATTGCAACCACCGCATTAACATGTTATAATGCTTAGCAAGGCCAGCCATAGTTGCATGAGGGCATCTTGATTGACGAACTATGCGCCGTCGTAGTTGGTGCGTTCAGCGTTTCCGAAAGAGGAAATTCACGGCTTGCAGTTGACACTTACTGTCAATGAGATGCATGTGGCGACCCCGGCCAGCAGGACATGTACAAGCATATGCCTGAGGGCAGGACTGCCACGGCTTTGCACATCATTTGCGCCTGCAGCCTTGCACCAGAAAGCAACAGGACTGTCCTGAGCGCTGAGAAGACCGAGTTTGTAGCCGGTCCTGCTGGTCTAGCTGCTGACTCTACCAGTTTGTACTGGGCGAACTTGAAGGACATCGGGTTTTCTGTCGACAAAGGATCATTGCCAAAACCCGATTCATCTCAGCCAGTTTGTCAGTGGCTCTACAAAGCTCTACTAATTGCCTGATTGATAAGTGGGAATTGCAGTAAAGTCCATATAGATCGTTGCAACCATTTTGGTAGAAGCAACCGTCCATAGGTTTCGAGCACTCAGCACTGAACGTCGCCAATTCTTGACTCACGCGATGCAGGGCGATCAGGCTACGGGCACGCTCGTTCAGGCTCAGGCAGGGAAAGTGTGGGGCCAAAGCTGATTGATGCCGGCAGTCATTCATCGTTCCAATTCCCAATCCAAGAAATGTGGAGTTGAAACCAGGCACCCAATAGAAAGCCATCGGGATATTCAGCCAAACGGCACGCGTGAAGCGACAGGCCAACGACAAGAAACAGGCGACCATCCTCGCCGGTAATCGCGACATGTACCAGGCCCTGCAGCGGCCCAGACGGCCAAATTTGTGGCATCCAGAATACGCTTTGCAGGCTATTGTGAAAGATATTTGCCTTGCTGGCGAAAATGCACAGCACTCAAACGACAGTCAGATGCTTGGGCAGTTTTTGAGAAACATGTTGATCGCTGCAAGGTGTTCTTTACTGGCGATGGCAAGTCCCTGTTCGCAGTGAAGGCTCGGTTGGACCTACTGCAGCGTACTGCTTCGGAGTTGTTGAAAACGCGCCTATGACAGTTCTCGGAGGTTCTCTCGGATTTGCCATCTGCAGGCTGACGGATCGAGCAATGTCACAGAGATTGCTCACCTACAGCAGCCTGCTGGCTGCGTCTATGACCAGGAGCGTCAGTGCTTCGCTTAAACTTGTTGATTTAGAGGTATCTCCAAGGTTAGCACCACGTGCAACCTGCACGCAGGAGACAACACTCTTCGTTGCAGATAGGGAAGACAACGCCATCTATTCGCTTCCCGCCAACATGGGGACACTGCACAAAGCGACCAGGTCGCACTTACAGTTATGTGTGCTTTGCCAGATTGCAATTTCGGAATCAAGATGAGGCAGCACAGCTACTAGTGCTTAAGTTGCTGCCTACTTGGTGTTTGCCACGTCGTTTTGGTGATGCCGTCAACCTTTTTTTGCACTGAGAATTTACCTACATGCCGTACACGCTCGGTGGCACATGTCAAACACATCAAGCGTCCTCAGCGATTTGTTGCATAGTTGCTTGCAGCCTGCAGTTTTCAGGTGAAGAGAGTGCGGAAGGCGGGCGCAAGCCAGTGCATGCAGTGCGCAACCTCCTAGCTGGAGGTTGCCTCTTTGGACAGCCCGCACCAGATTGCTATCTTCTTTGGCAGCAGACTCAGCACACAGTTGGCCCTTGCATCACAAACCCATTTGCGATGATGCACTGGGAAGCACATTGACAAAGGCCCATCTTCCAACAAGTTTCTCCAGCACCTTTCTGAGTAGAATCCGAGGGACTGACCACGAGTAGGTGCTCATCGTGCCGATGTGCTGATTGTTCATTTTGTTAATGCTGGTTTGACATGTTGGCGGCACATGATTACAGCATAAATTGAAGTGGCACCGTCGTTTCACACGGATCACATGTACATGCCGCGACTTGAAGGCATGCAACGTGCGAAAACTATTGTCCGGGTGGCAGCGACCGAAGTAAACTTGAATCAAAGGCTCGTGCGACATGTGGGTATGCGTCAAGATGGGTCTTGCGGTTGTCCTTGTGGTTGACCCAAACACGGGTACCCCAAAACACCCATGATTGCTTTTCGGCTGCTTGCAATGAGGCGCAGGAAGAACTGTTTATGGATTAATGGGATTGGAGAAATTCAATGACCAAAGACCAGGGGACCCTGATCCTGGGGTGGCATGCGCTGGCACTTCCTTGCCAGTCACTGCGGAAATCCTTGATGCTCGAGAGGGTGTAGGAAGAAAGGGCTCAAGCCCAGATGATGGTTCCATCTCTTAAGCTGACAGATGTATCGTATTGTATCGTTGCATTTGAGCTGCACATGATGGGAATTCATGAAGCACGGATGAGCGTCCATTTTGTGTAGTGTACTTGCCTGGCTTCGTTTTGCACACTTAGAAGACAAGAGGCCGGGGCCCAAGACGATTTATGCTCATTGGCTAGCGATTGAGATTTAAGCAAATTCCAGAGCAGAGGGTGGACAATCCAAAAGGTCTTTGCGGGGGACTAAGGCACTGTGATGCTGGCGTAAATGACGCTCAGTGCTCAGTGCATTGCAGGAATGAGTGGAATCATTGGTTCCCATGTGCTGCCGCAATGGACATGCTGTGGTGCTGTGCACGCGAATCATGCTTGCACATGTTGCTGCAGAGCTCCTATACGCTACAGTGCACTGTTATGTATGATGCATCATGCTTCGACAATACTACCTAGCTTGAGCTAGCGGAGTGCTGCACAGCGAAAGCATCCATGAAAGGGTGCTTGGGCAAGCCTGATGGGCATGAGTGAATTCGGCCGTCAGTGGACAAGGTCCAAAGTGAGCATCGAGGCTTCGTCGCATTTGAACCACAACTTCTCAGAGTGCCTTGGCCAAATGTTTGCCATGTTATCATTCTCACTGGATTCAAAAGAGCGACATTCGGTTGGTCACAACGGGGGACCCTTGAAAAAATGTTGACGGTCAGAATCCCCTCCCAAATGATGTCCACCAATATATATATATATATATATAGATTCCCAGTAAAATGGCCTACCCCAGTTCACTCAACCAGTGTTATCTCTCAAAGCCCGGAGCCACACATCGGGAATGGCCAAGGTGCAGCACCCTTGCCCGGGATGGAACTCTTGCCGAAGGTCGGATGAACCCGTGGCCGCTGGCTGCTGTTGGTTTGAAGGGAATGAGATGTCGGTCGTATGGGGATTTGAGAGGTAATTACTCAACAAATGTACAGAGGTTTACCTTCGCAACGCGTGTGTTGAGAGCGAGCTGTTCAGTCAGCTTTTCGTCTCGGTTTCTTTCCAGTGTCGTTCTTTCCGATGTGTGGCCGTATTTCCGTATTTGTTTGTATTTAGATTCTGTGTGACATCCGACCTCCACAACCGGATCGCCCGCCCGCCGACAGAGCCTGTGAAAGACAGATGTGACAGACAGCTATGTACGACAGAGCCTGTGAAAGACACGCGCATGCGTGGGTTGCACGGCGCGAGAGAGCGAGGGAGGGAGGGAGGGAGGGAGGGAGGGAGGGAGGGAGGGAGGGAGGGAGGGAGGGAGGGAGGGAGAGAGAGAGAGAGAGAGCAAGCGAGAGAGAGAGAGAGAGAGTGAGCGTCAAATCATCATAGTAGAGAGCAAATTAAGCGTTGTAAACGCTGCACACTTTACGCCTTGGCCAGGCTCAAAAGAACCACAAAACGAACGAGGGATTGAGGAAATGATGCCGGGTTTGGGCCGAGCAGGATGCAGCGCAACAAGATTGCCAGGAACTTCAACTCGAGCGGGGGCCACCCACCGAGATGGCTCTCGCTTCAGGGCGGCTGGAGCATAAGTTTTGAATCACCTGGCGTTGGTCCGGGGTCCGGGCGGGCCCCCAAATCCCAGGTGAGGGTGTGCCTTCAAGTTCGCATGTTCTGCTTGCTGCCCTCCCTCGAATCCTGGAGAAAACATGAACATTGGAGGGCGACCGCTTCCATGGTTGTTGCAAAGAGGCTAGGACAGCCGCTGTTTGCTATGGCACACGGTTCGCGCAGGCAGCCTTTCCCATTTCGGCAGCTTGGAGGATGAGGGAGGCGCGAGGCTTGTGTTTGGGACCCTGCAGCTGTTTGCGCCCGCTCGAGTCTAGGAGAACCCCAAGTGCAGATTTAGACAGATCCCAACCCACATATTCAGGGTAATTAGCCTTTGCCACCGTCTCTTGTGTTTTCAGGTGTTTCCCATATTAGGGGGGAGGCTCAACAGATCTCAATTGCGGGATAGGTTTGTCCCACGGCATTTGCTCACCCAGGCGGCGCTTCCCTTTTCTCAGAGCAGAAGCCCAGGCTCCTTGGAGCTTGCTGACGCTTGTGGAGCTTTCTACGGTCACAAGCCATGGCCTGGCTCATTCAGGGAGATGGTGCTCTTGCAGCTGAAGCTCATGGCTGGAGGCTCAGGAATGTGCCCACAGAAATCGAGGTCGCGGGATTTGCACGCTTCGCGCCAGTGAGGCGCCAACGAGTGGCCACCTATCTGATGGTCCAAGAGCCTGGTGCTCAGAAATAGGGGAATTTTTGTGCAACCCCAACATAGTCAGGCTCGACGTGCAGATCGTCACTACGTGCAAATCTCAGCATCTCAGAATCACCCCTTGACAATTCCCAGCTGCTCATACCGCAATTGTATGCGCATTGATCAAGATCTCTCCATACTTTAAGATTTCAGACGAGCATGCACACTTGTGACTCAGATAGTTACAAGCCTGGCAACCGCCCAAGACCCCACGTGCCTCCAGTCTTTGGATCACATCCTGGACATCCTGATATATTGTGCCCCTGCAGCACCTGCACATCGGTTTTCCATGTCCTAATTCTATCCCTGGCTGCTCCCTTTGCCCCCGGTTCAAAGGACCCCATCGGCGCCAGGAACTGTTGGTGGAGCCATCTCGGGAGGCTGTGCCTGGGATTGAGCCAGGAGGCACGCGTGCTTTGTGTGTGTGTTTGTGTTTGTGTGTGCGTTCGTGCATCCGTATGTTTGTGTGTGCGCGTGTTTGTGTGTTTGTGTCTTCGTCATTCTCTCTCTCTCTCTCTATCTCTCTTTCTTTTCTCTGTGTCCGTGGGTTTATGTGTTTGTGTGTATGAGTTGGCCGGGACTCGACAAACTGTTCGGAGCTCGTGACATACAAAGTATGAGCAGACACACGGGACAGGTCCTTGATAGTGATAACTGCACGGAATGTCTTGCGGAAGTTTGCCTCGTTTGGCAGCATGTCTTGGAGGTCACATGCCATGGCTTGCTACATTGCGGCCAAATCGAAGAGCTGCCGCATGCTTGAAGCGGGAACTGTGCGAAGAGTGAGGGCGGAAGATCTCTGATGAAGCGACGGGACAAGGTCTAGGGTTTGGGGTAAACTTCATAAAGTCAAAGGCTTCCAGACTTCAACCGCTGGGTCTAGCAAAGCCCTGCTCAGTGAGGATCGGTCTAAATGTGCAGCAGTCTACTGGGGTGGCACGTGGTGTGACTCAATAATTAGTCCATGCCCTGTATGGCATACATATGTACATTAACATGTATGTATAGCACAGGTATAGCATATACATATATTGTCACATATACATGTATAATATGTATATACAACGAGGATTATCCTCAACCTCTTGTGAGGACTTGTCAAGGCACCAGCGTTCAAAAAAGTCATGCGCTTAGGCCCGCTTGCCCCAGCGGCGCCTTGCGCCGCCCATGCAGCTGGCCGGCCGGCCCAGCGAAATCTGAATCCGCCGTCCGGCTGGCGTAGACAGGTGAGCCACTTGCTCAAAACCCGGGTAGATGAAGGGCAGTAAGGGACACTCCCAACCATAAATAGTTGCGGCCGCCTTCTTAACTCTTTACATGGTTCTGGGTAGATCTTTTTAATACCGGCTTTTGCGGCCGTCCTGGCACTGAGTTTTGGGGCCGGCAAGGGCCTGAGACGGGTGGATTGGGTCTTTGGCATCCGAATGTGTTGAGGTGGGTCCGGTTCCACTTGGTTTGGGGCTAAAGGCCGGGTTTGCCAGACGCCCATTGCATTCGGAGATCCAATATGCTGCAAAACCAGGGTTCGCTGCGGACAGAAGTTTGATCTGCGGGCAGAAGTTTGAATGGCATACAGGCAAACCAACAAACAAGCAGACAAACAGATGAAAGCTTAGCTGCCTAGCTTTTGACTTGAACAGTCCCAAGGACCTTGATTGGGCAGGCTAAGTGGTACTACTTGCTGCTTCACGCATGTTTTGCAGTCAGGCGAAGGATTTCCGATCGCAAAGATAATCGTTAGTGGTTACAGCTATAGGATTCTGGCGAAAGCGTCAACAACAGCCCCTCCAACACACAACGGGGAGACAGCAATGTGGCAATTGTCACTTTCTGTTGAGGTTGGCGCCGAACAAGGTCCTTTCACGCCACCACGAGTCACAATCCGCAACAGAACTTGATTGGTGTACATGGCTAAGTTTCCCGCTGGCTATGCGGCCATGCTTGGGCACAGCAGCCCTTTGATTCTTATGATTTTGGGTAGACCCCTTTAAGTACCATCTCTTAGCTCAGGAGAGCCGCCTATCTGACCAAGGTCTCTTTGCTCCCGACCCAGCCGGCGCCGCGGCCGCGGCCTTTCCGGCGGCGGCGGGCACCCGCATTGCCGGCCGGGATCCAGTGACGAGACACCTTGGGGGGGGGGGGGCTTTGGTATCCCCTCCTTTTGGGGCGTCGATTTTTAAAGGGCCCTTTTTCCTCAGCTGGTTCCACAGCTGAAAGCTATGGGGGTCCCCCAGATAGGCTCCGGCGTGGCATTACCTATTCAGACAGCC